GAGGAGGAGGAGGAGGAGGAGGAGGAGGAGGAGGAGGAGGAGGAGGAGGAGGAGGAGGAGGAGGAGGAGGAGGAGGAGCTCTGGGGCAGCGTTTTTGGGCCAGGCTGGGCGGGGCCTCGGGTCTCGCACGGGCAGCAGCTGGCCCCCCAGAGAGTTCCAGCTGGCCTCAAGGAGCCCCCCCCCAGGGCAGTCCAGAGCGGTCTCGACTCGGGAGGGGCAAATCGGGGGCCCCCAAACGGGGTGGTGACCACACCGTGTGTGACTCGGTGGGGATTTCGGGGGCGGCGAATAGGGGGTTGATGATTAGGGGGGGTGGATATCATGGCGGGGTCATGGTATCTCCCCAGATTTCATGGCGCCTCTTCTTATTTCAATACGTCCCTGGCCACCACCCCTGGGCCGCGCACAAGGCCCTGGCCATGATTTGCGCCCCCCCCTCTTGGACGCTCCCCTCTTAGCCGCTCCCGAGGATTCGGGGTCACCGCGCAGTTTTCGGACTTGGACCGTTCTTCGAGAACGTCTCGGGCGACTGGGGCCTCCGAGGTCCCAAAACCGTGTGGTGACGGACCCTGCAGTGAGGTCTTTGTGGATTTCGAGGTCGTTGCCAGGTCTGTCACCACACTTTGTTGAGACCCCGAAGATATGGGGAAGTATGGGAAGTGGAGGGAAGACGAAGCTTCAGAAAATAGTAGAAGATATGGGGAAGCCGTGGATTTGCATATTTATTTCTGTGTTCCTGGGCCCCTTCATCGACGCCCTGCCGGGACTTCCGGAGGGGTGAGCCCGAAGCCTCACCATCCTGGGCCCGCTTCCCTGCACCGTCGGATCGTTGGGCCACGGCTCATAGCGTCGAGTCGGGCATGTCCCCTTCTACACAGGAGGAATATTCAAGAATAGTAAACAATAGTCTGGGGACGATGTTTCGTGTCCTTTTTTTTATGTGTGTGTGTTTGTGTGTGTGTGTGTTTGTGTGTGTGTGTGTGTGTGTTTGACAATTTTTCATTTTTCTTGCTAAGCCCGCTTGTAGGAGGACATGCCTGATCTGAACATAGCGTGAGTTTGCCCATTGCAGGTCGGCTTGTGCGGTGCTCCCGGTTTGCCTGGCCACCTTCTGATTCGCGATGTCGTCGTGGCACCCGTGGGGTTTGTACGAAAAGAACGCCCTGGACCTGTTTCCTTCAGGGTTCCTTCCCCTCGGGCCGTGCAGAGGTGGCCGCGGTTTCGGAGAGCATCTCCCAGCTGGACACGAGGCTGGCCTCCGTCGAGCAGCAGGCCCGCGCCTGCCCCGCGGTCGCACGCGCAGGCTGTCGCGCCGCTCGGGCACGCGTCGCTGCGTGCTTTGGCTCGACTGAACAGCTGCGAAGCTCTGCAACGTGCTGTCTACGATTCACCGGGTTGCTCCACATCCCGACCTCTGGGGGGCCCTCGGGGTGCGCTGTCGCAGAAGTTTCAGGGTGCTGCCCCTAAGGAGGAGGAGGGGGAGGAGGAGGAGGAGGAGGAGGAGGCTTCTTGGAAGCTTTGGGGGGGCCTCGCGTGGCCCCTGCGCCCTGCCCTCGTTGGCCGCCTTTGGTCTCTGATGGCTCTGCTGGGTGGTCTTGGAACCCCTCTCGGGCTGGCTTTTGGAGCTCTCTTTGGCCGTCCTGGGTCTTCGTGGAGGCCGCCTTGGGCCGCTTCGACGGCGGTGATGGCGCCGCCATCGGGGATTCGCTGCTGGCGGACAAAGGGGGGCAGGTTCCGCAGTGCACTTTTGGATGTGAGCCTGCGGCAGAGAAGCTCCTTGGTAGGACCTCGAGCCTCGAGAATCACAACTTGGGAGCGTCTTCCTGTGATTTTGGCGCCCACTCGCTTCTTTTCCCGCTTCTATTAGACCGCCTCTACTTCCTCCCTCCTCGTTCTCCTTCCTCCTCGTTCTCCTTCCTCCTCCTCCTCCTCCTCCTCCTCCTCCTTCTCTTCCTTGTCGTCGTCGTCGTCGTCGTCGTCGTCGTCGTCGTCGTCGTCGTCCTTCTCTTCCTCTTGCTCCTCCCTCCTCGTCCTCCTCGTTCTCCTCTCGTCCCGCGCTCCCTTCCTCGCTTCCTCTCTCTCTCTCCTCCTCCTCCTCCTCCTCTTCCGCCTCCTCCTCCTCCTCCTCTCTCCTCCTCTTCCTCCTCCTTCTCCTTTCCGCCTCCTCCTCCATCCGCCTCTGCCTCCATCCTAAGGCCTCCTCTCGCCCTTATCCTCCTCCTCCTCCTCACTCTCTCCGCCCTCCTCCTCCTCCTCCTCCTCCTCCTCCTCCCCTCCTCGCTCCCTCCTCCCCGCCTCACACCTCCTCCTCTCCTCCTCCCCGCCTTCTCCGCCCTCCTCCTCCTCCTCGCTGCTCCTCCTCCCTCCTCCTCCTCCTGCTACCTCCTCCCTCCTCCCTCCTCCGCCTGCCCTCCTACTCCTCCCTCCTCCTTCTCCTCCTCCCTCCTCCCTCCTCCTCCTCCTCCTCCTCCTCCTCCTCCTCCTCCTCCTCCTCCGCCTTCTCCGCCCTCCTCCTCCTTCCTCCTCCTCCTCCTCCTCCCTCCCTCCCCCTCGTCTTCCTCCTCCTCCTCCTCCTCCCCCTCCGCCCTCTCCTTCTCCTTCCCCGCTCCGCCGCGCTCCCCCCCCGGCCGCCCCCCAGATCGCGGCCCTGCCCGCAGCTGCGCCCGGCGGGGGCGCGCAGCCCGCGGCGAGGGGGCAGGAGGCGGCCTCGTCCACGTCGCCCATCGCTGTCGTCGTCGTCGTCGTCGTCGCCGTCGTCGTCGTCGTCGCCGTTGTCGTCGTCGTCGTCGTCGTCGTCGGTCCGTCCGTCCGTCCGTCCGTCGGTCCGTCCGTCCGTCCGTCCGTCCGTCCGTTCGTCCGTTCGTCCGTCCGTCCGTCGTCGTCGTCGTCGTCGTCGTCGTCGTC